CAAAATATAAGTAATTTTTTTTTCAATGCATAATATTTTTTAACCTAAAGTCTTATCTATTTTAAGGTTAAATTATAATCTATTTTTGTTGAAACATCCATTACAATTTATTTGATTTTTAATATATGATAATAAATAAATACAATTTGTTTGAAAAATCTTTATGTGAGTTGGTGTGTATCAAAAACACGATTAAAATGCAGATGATCTGCAGATGATTTTTTTTTTACCAATTGCATAAATAAGTTTTTAGACAATTACGAAACCATTGTTGACATTATTAACCATTATGAAAATTCAAGAGAGAAAGAATACCGTATGACGTTTATTGTTTGAATTTTTAAAATCGTAGGCATATTGGTATCAATGTGGTATACTGTAATCTATATTCTATATAAATTAAGAATACTTATTGTTGAGTTATTGCAAGAATAGAGCTTCTATTTCATGCGGACGAGACTGTTTTGCATCTTCTCTATCGATTTATGAATGAATTAATGCACTGTTTTCAACCAAGTAATTGATATGTGGATGTATATTTTGTATCAAATTTTGATTTAGTTACATCATAAAAAAGTGATCGATACATTTCATAACAATATACTTTTACATTTTAATCGTTTTTTTTAAATATTTTACTAAACAAAAGTATATTTTATTTATTATCATATATTAAAAGTAAGCAAATCATAATGGTTGTTTCAACAAAAATAGGTTATAATTTAGAGGGTGTCTCAAAAAAAAAAAAAAGATTTTAATAAGTTAGAATTCCTTTCTTTTCAAAACTCCTTATAACTTTTTGGGTTGTAAAATCAAATACCCCTTAACATGTATAAGTTAAGACAAACACTTTGAAAAAAACAATTTATTGACTTTCTCAACACAAAAGCTAATCCAAACATTTTTTTAAAAACTCAATTTCTCATAATCTCAGTAAGTCATTTTGCCTAAAAATCTTTTTGAGTTTCAAAATGAAATCTCAAACACCCTCTTAATCTTAAAATATATAAGACTTAAGGTTAAAAATTTATTATGCATTAAAAAAATTACATATATTGTGGCATATTAACAAAAAAGCCACCATTGATATTTTGTTTACAATTTAACCATCAAAACTTGTTAATGTTTGCGGTAACCTGCAAATTGAGCCAAATTACAAGTAATAGCCGGTTGCAGTGGTAAAAAAAACAGGGTGAATTTTTTGTCAATAGAGCCAAAATGTAAATATTTTTTGCGGACATTTTTTTGCAGATTTCGAAGTAAAAATAAATATGTCATTGTACTTTTGAAATAGTCACACTAGGACATCCTACTTTGAATAATTTAGTGACGTTTTTTTGTATATTGATAAAGGTATGATAGTAGACATGTATTGTTCTAGAAGTGGCACTAGAGTTGAAACGTCATTCTACTTTCAAATTGGCTACTAGGATGGACTTGAAATAACATTGTACTTTTAAAAAATGATTATTTATTTATTTATTTCAATTTTTTTTAGGGAAATAGACTTATTAAGGTAATTAACTTTTCGGTTTGTTCACATTTGAGTAACTATTTCTTTTTTGTACACATCTAGGTAACGAACTTTTTGAAAGTGTTCGCATATGACCATTATGACCGGCTGTAGCAGGTTACATTCGGTCACAATGGTCATATGTGAACACTTTTAAAAAGTTCGTTACTTAGATGTGTACAAAAAAAATAGTTACCCAGATGTGAACAAACCAAAAAGTTAATTACCCTGATAAGTCAATTTCTTTTCTTTTTTATTTTACCTTCTAATTTTGATTTGGTATAAAACTTAACCTAAATGGTAAATATTTTTAAAACCACACCATTTTAGTAAATATCTTTTTAAAATTCACTACTTTGTTAAAAAAAAAAACTATATATTTGACATGGAAAAAAAAACACATCGTCGTTTTATAGATTTTTGTTGTTTAAGACATTAGATATAAAAAATTTAATTTACTAGAGACTAAAAGTATCAGAAATTAAGACCAATAATATAAAAAAAACACACCGATTGATGAGTTAAAGCTTAAAATGTTGTTAATAGAGTTTCAGGTTTTGATTTGTATTTCAAGTTATTGTTTTCAATTGATTTGGTTCTCCAATTTCTCTTTCTAGTATCAATTTTCTTTTCCTGCAAGGATTGTGATGCATTCGGTTGTGGTGGTGGAAAATTCGATGAAAAGACAGTGGTTGTGGTGTTGGTTCGCCGAAGTTGAAAGACCAAAAAAGAAGGAATGGTGAAGACGTCGATGTCACTAAAGATGAAAATGAAATAGAAGTTGAAGAGGATGAGAGATGGGATGGTGACTGGTGGGACCCAAATTAAATTTCTCAAATGTGGTTTCAGGTTTAGGGCGAGGAGATAAAAATATGTGGGGTCTATTAATTTTTTAAATATATAAAAAATATAAATACATAAATAAGAAAATTAATTAAAAAAAAAATTAATAAGGGCACAATAGTCTTTTTAGGTAAGACAAGGACCAAGCGTGCAACAAAAATAAACAATAGGGACCATCCGAATTAAAAAAATAAGTTATGGACGAAACACACAAATTACCCCAAATCACAGGGACCATTTGGGTAATTTACTCTTACTTTTTCGGTTTGCTCGTAACTATTTTTTTTGTACACATCTACGTAATAAACTATTTGGAAGTGTTCACATATGACCATTATGACCGGATGTAACCTGTTACAGCCGGTTGGTCATATGTGAACATTTCCAAAAAGATCGTTATCTAGATTTGTACGAAATAAAAAATAATTACCCAAATATGAAAAAACCGAAAAGTTAATTTTTCAAAAAGTTATTATTTGGGATGGGACATTCCTGTAACCTATTTCAAAGTGATTATAAGTTGTCATTTTTTTTTTGTTGTGAACCATATTTTAACTTATTTTAATTACTTTTTCCATTGCTTTGTTCGAAACATAAACATGCATACATTTTTTATGTTGGAAGCGCGCGCACACACACATTTACTGACATTAATACTGATGTGTTGTTCTCTCTCCTTGAAGTCAAGGGTTCAAGCCCCGTTAGAGACATAGGAGAAACTAAAAATAGATTATATTTGTCGTTCCAAAAAAAAAAGGAAGCACACACACTTTAAAGCATTGTACAATGCTATAAGTTGCTTATTTTTCAAAGTACAATGCTTAAGAAGAAAAAAATGAAGTAGAGACCATTTTTGTAACCTATTTCAAAGTGTTTATAAGTTGTAATTTTTTTGTAAATTTATTTAAACAAAGACCATTCTTGCAACTATTTATATTTAGGAGAGGCACAATTCCTGTAATTTTTTTAAAACAATATATATTTTACCTTTTTGGAAAAAATTATACTCAAAATTGTTATTTTTTTTAGTAAAAATGACAATTTTTGAGCTTTTTGGTCATTTAACCATTTTTTTGGTCAAAAAGCCAAACAAAGGCCATTCTGCTAATTTGTTTTATAGTGATTATAAGCTACCATATTTTTATGTTCTGGAAAAACTTTTAACTATTTTAATTTTTTCCATTGTTTTGTTCAAAGCACACACTTTCTATGCTGGAAAAACACACTTACTAACATTGTATAATGTTAGGGTTGTAAACGAACGAACGTTCGGCAAACCGTTTGGCTGGAAGTTTGTTTATGTTCGTTTATTTAATAAATGAACGAACAAGAACACAAATTTTCGTTCGTTTAGTTAAAAGAACGAACATGAACAATGGTCTCGTTCGTTTAATTATATTCGTGAACGTTCATTTACATTCGTTTATGTTTATTCGTTTAAGTTTATTTATGTTGATATATGTTGAATTGTTTTTTATTACATTAGTATATTATATGTTCGTTTATGTTCATATATGTTTAATTATGTTTGTTTATAATTGTTCGTTTAGCATGTTCAGGAACATAAACAAACATGAACAAGGTAATTTGTTAAAACGAACGAATATGAACAAGAAAACTTTTTCGTTTATCTGTTCGTGTTCGTTCGTTTGTTCAGCTAACTTAAATGAACGGACATGAACAAGCCATTGTTCATGTTCGTTCGGTTCGTTTACAGTGAATAACGTTATAAGTTGCTTATTTTTCAAAGTACAATGCTTAAGATTAAAACCTTCGCACATACCATTTCTGTTCAAATTGCTTATAAGTTGCCATTTTTCTGTAAATTTATGTAAACATATTTAAACAGTTATCATTTCTTTAAATTTGGTCATTTTAAAGTAGATACTTCCGCAACAAATACTTATTGTATTACATTCATAGAGACAAATCAACATTGCTTTGAAAATCGTGGTGTTTTTTTATATCATTATTGTTTTTTGTTAATCATTTTTTTGTTCATACATACACATACACAGAATAATGACTACAAATAACATCAATGTAAATTACATGAATGGTACCAGTGGTTTTATGGTAATTTACGCGTTTGGTCATTAATTTTTTTTTTTAACTTCGACCGTTCTTATAGTTTGATTTTGTTGCGTCGTTGGTCCCTGGCGGATTTAAAATGACTAATATACCCTTATTTTATTACTTTAATTATTTTATTTATTATTAACTTATTACAAAAAATTGTTTAATATATGTAGGTCCCATCCACCCACCCATCCCTTTCATCGGCCTCCTCTCAACCCCTTTTTACTTGATGTTATTTCTCTTATATCAGGTTCAAGAAACTATACCAACAAACCTGAAATTTCCGGTATCCTCTACCACCATCGGACCTTAAACTTTCGGTATCCTCCACCACTACCCTACCCGCTATTAGTTACTAGAGTCAAAACCACACCTTTATCCTACCTTGACCTTGTCTCTTTCCTTCCATCGCCGGTGAGCCCTCTAATAAATCCTATGGTTTCGCACCATAACTGCATCCCTTAAAGTCGTCAAAGGAAAGGTGGAAGCGTCGTCGGTCTGCATCTAAATCTAGACCATCATCTACAGTCGTTGATTGCATCGTACCCACCAGAGCGCCACCGATATGCATCTAAAGGCACGATCCATGGCCGATTTGCACCTAAAATCACATTTTAGGCCATATTTCTCTCTTATTCACCTATTATCGTTGAACCTCTGTAAGGCTACCCACCATCGTCGGGAACGACGACGAAGATGTCTTCGATCCCTTGCTTCGACTACTGAAGACGTCTTCGTCAAAGAGTGGTGGCGTCGGCGACCATCTTCTTACCCACCACTGGTTCTCGATCCTCCTTCCGACGGACTTGATTTCTTGCCTCTTACACTTCAATTTCTTACCTTACCGTTCTTGATGATATGGTAGGTTTAGGTTAGGGAGTTGATTGTTTGGTGATGGAGATTTATGAGTTTCGATCTATTTTTTTAAGCAAAGAATCGGAAACATATTTTGTTTATTTCCATTCCCATAACTGATTTTGAGTTTTGGATTTCAGAAACGAGGTTAGTAGTCGTTTTCTTTTTAGGTCTGAATCGATACAATTTCGAAGTTGGTATTAGTGGTGGGTGGTTGCAGGAGTTGAATCGATGTTGGAGGCAAATTGGGTGCTCTTTAATGTTTAAACTCTGATGGAATAAAATTAGTAGGACCCACAACTATTAAACATTGTTTTGTAATAATCTAACAATTAATAAAACAACTAAAATAATAAACAAGGGTATATTAGTAATTTTAAGTCTATCGGAGACCAACGACGCAACAAAATCAAACTATAGGGATAGTCCGAGTTAAAAAAAATAAGTTAGGGACCAAACGCACAAATTATCCTAAACCATATGGACCATTGGTGTAATTTAGCCAATTCGATTTGTCCAAAATAAAGTACACCTTAAAAGTCAGAGTTGTCCGTTTGACAAAGCAATTAGTACACAAAGCAATTAGTACATAAACGTTACATGATTTTACTTGATTAACATGTAATTACATAATTCCTTTAAAATTTTGCATTATATTTTATAAAATGCAATTGATTAGATTTATAAATATATTTTATTATTACAACTCATTTTTATGCTTTCATGTGTTTAAATAATAACCAGGGGTTAACCCATACTTCAGATCTAAGGCTCTTAGAGAGCTGAATTCCAAAATTGCAAACCCTTAGAGGTTTATATAGGTCTTAGGGTGGATGTATGTAAGACATGTTTCCTTTTAGATAACTCTAACCCTATTGTTTCCCCCCTAAGGCCTGCTAAGCTTCCTTAAAGCCCAAGAAAGCCTCTAGAAAAACCCCTCTAGAACCGTTTCCCTTTTGGGAGGTTCTAGAATTGGTCAATGTTCAACTTTTGAATATTGTCACCTTTAGTCATTGTACTTTTAATTAATCCTAAAATTAATTTCACCTTTAGTCATTCGACTGATATGCTTGTACTAACTACTTGTTGAATTATTCACAAAGGCACGTTTTATAACATCGAGTTACCAATGCGTTTTCGTACAATCAATGAATAACCAACTCATAGTCAACAACTCATATCTCTAGGTTTGAAGATTTATATGATATTACCGTCTCACGATCACTCGAGATAAATTCCATGAAGTGATGCAAGTGAGCGTGGGTTGGATCCAATACTCACCCCTTATGAGTACTCATGAATGTTGTAGCAACCATTGCATTGTCCAAAGCACTTTTAGACAAATCATACAAGTCAAATTCATGACAGTCTTAAATCAATACTTACTTCCAAAGTTTGACTGACTGTGGATGGTTTGAATAATAACATAATTATTCTGGAAGTAAAAACATGCAAAGTTGAAACATAGTAAACAATCAACACAAGATAGTAACACCTTACTCATAAATAAATAACAACTTTTATTTATCATCAAATGTCAATTACATTTTACAAGGATCAGGAATCTAATTATTGAAACTAATATCATCCTTCAGCCCAATGCGCCTCGCATGCTGTAAATGCTTAACCCTGCTCAGTCCCTTCGTGAGGGGATCTGCCGGGTTCTCATCTGATGATACCCTCTTAGCCACGAGGAGTCCTTCTTCTATTCGATGTCTGATGAAATGGTATTTTTCTGTCAATGTGCCTAGATCTCACGTGATCTCTTGGTTCCTTAGCCAAAGCAACCGCACTTTCGCTGTCACAGAAAATTTCCATTGGCCCTTTTATAGCTGGTACAACTCCAAGGTCTCCGATGAAGTTCTTTAGCCATATCGCCTCCTTAGCTGCTTCACTTGCTGCTATGTACTCTGATTCACAAGTAGAATCAGCTACTGTCTCCTGCTTGGAACTTTTCCAAGTAATTGCCCCTCCATTTAGGATAAAGACCCAGCCTGACTGAGTGTGGAAATTATCCCTATCAGTCTGGAAGCTAGCATCGCTATATCCTTCCACTCTCAAGTCATCACTGCCTCCGAGGGTAAGGACCCAATCCTTAGTCCTCCGCAGATACTTGAGAATGTTCTTTACCGCTGTCCAATGTGCCTTGCCAGGGTTCCCTTGATATCTACTGACCATGCTCAAAGCAAATGCCACATCATGACGAGTACAAGTCATAGCATACATGATCGAGCCCACAGCGGAAGCATATGGTATATGACTCATCTCAGCTATCTCAGCCTCTGTACTCGGACTCTGAGTCTTACTCAGCTTGGCATTACTCTGGACGGGTAATTCCCCTTTCTTGGATTCTTGCATGCTGAACCTCTTCAGCACCTTATCCAAGTAAGTACTTTGACTAAGTCCAATTAGTCTCTTACTCCTATCTCTCAATATCCTTATCCCTAGGATATAAGCAGCTTCCCCAAGGTCCTTCATAGCGAAACACTTCCCAAGCCAGGACTTAACCTCCTGCAAGGTTGGGACGTCGTTTCCTATGAGAAGTATGTCATCCACATACAACACCAAGAAGCTAACTATGCTCCCACTAGCCCTGACATACACACAAGACTCATCCTCACTCCTAGAAAAGCCAAACTCTTTGACTTTCTCATCAAAGCAAAGATTCCATCTGCGAGATGCTTGTTTCAATCCATAAATGGATTTATCAAGCTTACACACTCTATTAGGGTATCTTGTATCGACAAAACCCTCTGGTTGAGCCATGTAAACATCCTCAGCCAACTTTCCATTAAGGAAAGCGGTTTTGACATCCATTTGCCATATTTCATAATCATGAAATGTAGCTATGGCTAACAATACTCTAATAGACTTAATCTTAGCTACTGGTGAGAAGGTCTCATCATAGTCAACTCCCGGAGTTTGAGTAAAGCCCTTCGCAACCAGTCGCGCTTTGTAAGTATGTACCTTCCCATCCATGTCGGTCTTCTTCTTGAAGATCCATTTGCACCCAACTGTCTTACGACCTGGTACATTGTCAACCAAGTTCCAAACTTGATTGTCATACATGGACTGAATCTCGCTGTCCATAGCCTCCTTCCATTTAGCAGACTCAGGGCCTGCCATGGCTTCCCTGTAATTATTAGGTTCATCCAAGTCTATTAGTGTACTATCACTAATAAATGTATCACCTTCAGTGGTGATGTGATAACCATAATAAAAATCAGGTGTGTTCCTCACCCTAGTGGAACGTCTCGGAGGTACAGACTCATCTATCAGATCAACAGGAGTTTCCTCCTCAGGTTGGTCGATAGCATTTGAGGTTCCTTCACCACTTGACTCTTGAAGCTCTTCAAGGTCAATTTGCCTCCCACTGTCCCCTTGGCTTATGAATTCTCTCTCACGAAAGACTCCTCTTCTTGCTACAAAGACCACATTATCACTGGGTCTGTAGAAGAGGTAACCAAAGGATCTCGGCGAGTTCAGTCGTCAGAGTGCAGAATTTTCGATTTTTAAGCAGTTTTGCATCAAGTATACAGAAAACAAACCTAGGCTCTGATACCACTGATGGGTTTTGAGCATTCTAACACTTCCTAAGTGTACATGCAACCCTAATAACCTTGAATCTATGTTTTCTCTATATACATGCAAATTTCTTTTTCAAGGTTATTTCCTAACTAGCATGGCATGGGGATTACATAAAACATAAAAACTAGTAGAAATACATACATTGTTGTTGCTTGGATTCCTTCAAGACTTTGTGAGCCTAGCACCCCAAATGTTGTGCCTCAAATGCTTCACACAACACCACAAGACTTGGAATAACTTGAGAGAATGTCACTTCTAGCACTCAAAATCGGTTATGCCCTCTCTAGTAACACTAGGTCCACTAGCTCACCATTTTGCTAGCCATAGGGTTCCTTTTATAATGTTGTCACAATTAGGGTTTACACATGAATGCCCTTAATTTGTCATGACTCTTGATTTCTCATGACCCATGGGTTTGTAACTCCCATAGACTATCCATGGAGCTCCATATGGTTATCACCAAACCCATAAACCATGGATCATTAATCCACCATAAAAGAATTGATGATTGTCATAATCAATCCTATATATTTAATTAGTCTCACTTTGATCACTAGATTAATACTAGATTAATACATGATCAATACTAATTAAATAATACTACTATTAATATATTAGAACTTATAATATATTAATAATCATAAGTGCCTTATTCTCTCATTTAGTCTATCCAAGTATTGCAATGCCATGCAACCCAAATGGACCATGTCGGGTCGGGTCAAGTACATACCAAATAAAGTTATGGACTTAGACACTATATCCAACAGGAACACCACCCCCACTTTATGTTATGACACCCACCCATACAGAGTAGTCTAAAGCTCATGCCTTCATCTTTCAGTCGATCGAACAATACCTCTCACCTTCACCACAGACCCTTTTCCGAATTTGACTCCAGACCTTTGATCGTCGACGCCACTAGTTATATTCTCGTATTCTCTGATCTCCTAGTAAGTCACATTTTTTTGGTTAGGTATAAGTGTACGCTTGCTGACAGGGGCGGAACACGAGAAGTTAAATTAGGGGGGCCAAAATCAAAATTTAGAAAAAACAATCATATTAATAAGTTTAATTTGATTAAAGGATATGAGATATAGAAAATTTTAAACAAAACAACCAGTATGAAATATATTTATGTCGCCTCATCAAAATGGAGCCTTTTCGAACAGTGATCTTGATTCGGCTCACAAGTCTACTGTTTTTCAATCTAAATAAAATAAAATTGTAACATCCCAAAAATACAACCCAAAAATTTTTGTTTGAAAACTTTACTAAACCATAATATCAAATATTAAAAGATAAAACCATGAATCATGTGTCTCAAAATGTCATAATAAATTTATCAAATCGAAACTAGTGTCAAGATCATATCAAAATATCAGAGTCTAACTCCCAGGCTAAAACTATGGTGTGTGCCACGCC